GTAGTAGTAGTATAGTAGTAGTAGTAGTAGCAGTAGCAGCAGCAGTAGCAGCAGCACGACTAACAGTTTAAAGATTTACTGGAAATTCAACAAAATAGGATGTAGACCTAATTTACGGTAAGTTGGTATTACGGCACAAAGTAAAAAGCTGCAGAGTTAGTTAAGAGGTACATCGTCAAACGCATAAATCTTGAACAATAAATGATAAAAAGTAATCCAGTTCCGATATGCAATGTTATGTAAATTGTATAATGGAAGTAGATTAGCTTTGTATTATTAACGCAATAATCGTAACAAGTAGATTAGCTTTGTATTATTAACGCAATAATCGTAACAGCAACGAAGGTTGATCCAATGGTCCAAAGAATTCCATCAAGTATCACCAGACCATGAAGTCGTTATTGTCCAAACGGCTATTTCGTGCCAACGTTGAAGTCCAACACAAAAACACAGAATACCACGTAATCTGCTATCATTACCAGCATCTATGCTTATCTGACGAAAATAGGTCAACGCTGACCATAAAATTGCATTAAATATTGTAGGCCTTCAGCATCCTGTGTTTTTTACAAAAAAAAATTAAATATTCTATTATGTGTTATGTTTTTTGATAAGGCCACATTTTAGTGAATCTAAACTACAAATTCGTATACAGGTTAATTTAGTTCAATGGAACAATTACAATGTTATGGTTAATTTCAAGTATTTTTTCTGCGTATTCACTATTCGAAGTTTCGAAAATATGTCTTATAATTTCATCAACATTAGGCTATTCTAAGTATGAACAACTATAGTCTACCATCGTCCGAGTTTTGTTGATTTTCTGGAGGGGCAGAGCCTCTGTAGGAATATTTCGCAATGCTTTTTCAGCACATGTAACGTGTGTGAATATGTTTGGACATTTTAAATCAATTAAGCGCTGTACTTTCAAATGTTTGTCTACATGTTCGTTGTACTAATGACGTTCTTCTGATTATACGCCAGTAAAATTTACTATAGCCTGTGTATAATTGTAATATGTGTGTGTAATTGTAAAATCACTATTACAGTAATAGACCTTTCCGGAGTGTCAATCAAACTTATCAACTGACCAATCAGAACAGCGCTAGGGATACGCGTGCGTCTCACAAACACACGTGATGTCCCACAAACGCACGTGTTCGCGTATGTTTTAACATTGTCGTCTTGTGGGACCTTAGCAACAATATCCAAGGGGCGGGGCTTAGCGGAAAGATCCATTACAACCAGTCTAAATGAGTACCCAACCAACATACACTTTACCATTCGTTTTATTTCATTTGAGAAATTAAAATAATATTTTTAACAAATTCATTCAACACAGTACCATGATTACTTATGCAAAAACATCGTGAAATCGTTTTCTAATATATTGCATTGTATAAATCTTACAGATTAATTTATAAATACAAAACAAAGGTGGAACTCCATATTTCTTATCTTGAAAAACAAGTTGAAGAATTAATGGCTTATTTTAATTTAAACATAATTATGGACAGAAATAATAAATATTGTAATGTCAATCTATATTCATGCAGCATAAATCGTTAGCCCTGTGCAGACTATCAAATTTGTTTGACATGCCTTAATATGTCGTGATGACATCACATCATGGCCATATATAGGCACATCATGACCATATATAGGCACATCATGACTAAATATGGGCTTATAATAGTTTATTTGTCAAAGAAATTTGATAGTTTGTACAGAGCTTTAAGCTCTATTCAAACAAATTAGTGTAAATTACCCATATATGGACAGGCTGTCAAATTACATCCATATATGACATGATGTCATACTTGCCCATATATTATGGACAAATTACACGTAGAATAGGGCTTAAAAGCCGGGCAAAATGATTAAAATAGTGTCTACCAGACGCAACAGAAATGTTTGATCAGATTGGTGAAGTATAGATAGAGCATTGCATGGTTTCCAACTTAATCACTGACAAATCAGGAAAGGGCCAGGAACACGTGCGTGTCCAACAAACGCACGTGTTCGCGTATGTAAGACTAATAGCAACAATATCCAATGGGCAGGGCTTAGAAGAAAGATCCATTGAAGATCATTTTTTAAAATCAGATATGTCTGGAAAAGTAGTTGTATTCCAATACAGTACTTTATTCAAGACATAAATCAAATTGCAAATTTACACAACGTATAAGATAGAAGGCCTGTAACGAGCTCAATAAGACATTGGGCCACGCAGCTAATACAGAACTCTTTACATGTCTTTATAAAATAGGATGAAAAATAAACACTATCGATCAAAGTCTGCCTCTGTTTGACAGACATAACCCTGAATACAATATGCCCGGCGTAAGGTTTATTCCATATTTTTAATAAAATACTTTCCCTTTTAAGGGTTTACAATTAATTATTTGAATTCATTTCTTAAATTAAAAAAGCTTTTCAATAAATCTAATTGAATTATTTTTTATTTCAGCTACGAAATTGGCAACAAATGGCATTGTAAAATCATTGACTAAATTATAGATAGCGTTAATAATTGATTGAATAGAATAAACATTTATTGTGCGCAACAATCTAACAATAGACCTATCCGGAGTCTCAATCAAACATAACTGACCAATCAGAACACGGAGGAATGCGCGCATGTCCCAAAAAGACACATTTGCGCTTTGTTTTTTGTGTAACCTTGGAAACAATATCCAACGTACAGGGCTTAGTGTAAAGGTTTATTAGATTTGCCATACAGCATTTGTTGTAGCAATATTTCACAGTTAAACCCGTATTTATTTAACCATTGAATAACACAACAATTCCTAGTCCGAATCGGATCCAGCAAAACGCGGGGAGAGGGACCATCATTGAATTATTGGAATCTAATTTAGTATTGAGCTTTAAAGGTTGACAGTCACTGTTTTCCATCCTACCCCTAAGTCCTCCCAACCCCAAAAATCCATTACTACTTACTTTTTAGTAATTGCGGTCAGGAATGCAAGATTTTTCTTAGATTTGCATGCAGCAAATGTTTTTTTTTGGGTTATAACAAATACAAAAATGCACGATTGAAAATTTAAAAAAGTAACCTTAACCTTAATAATAATTTACTTCTATAAATGTCAGCATTTAAAAAAATTATTCTTATTAGACAAATCAACGAATCACTTTCAGTTTGGCACATAAAGTTTTCATATTTAGGATTACAGTATTCATGAATTGGCATATTGTGAAAAAACTAAAAATAATCTGTAATCACAGTTTCCCATTACCTAAATATGAGATGATATATCACAAATGTTCTTAATTTAAACTTATTAAAACACATAGGCATCGTTTCTGTTGTTTCAAGTGTCCGTTGTAGATATATGTACAATTATAATTACAACTAGTGAAACATATAAACATCGTCGATAATTGTCCCTGAGGTTAAATAATGCACGGAAAAAAGAAGGAACGTTGCGGCATAATTATGTTGATACATCATCTCATCTTCTCCCTCATCGAAAAAGCAGCAAAAAGCGCCCTCTGCAGTTAGTATTTATAATTAAATTTCCTTTACAGTACTTTATATTCGAATTTCTTAATAGTGATTATATACAGAATGCAGCCTTGCTATTTCGGTTTTTAAACAACATACTTCGGTTCTCAATTTCCAGTTCTCTTGTTCGAGACACATTGCACGAATCGCTATTTCTTCTTCTTTCGCTCGTCGAGTATCCCTTGAGCGCTTCGCTGCATCGTTGTTTTTCCTCCTCCTCTCCCAATACATGTCATCTTTCTTTTCATCCGGGATACCCTTAGACTTTTTAATTGGAACTGGGTTATTCTTTTTTGTATCTCCCTCCTCATCGCTACATACCGACGTTGCCTTTCCTTCGCCTCCTAATCCTGAAGTTTGTCGCGATCGTTTACGGGAAACCAACAGCGCAGACAACCTCAGACTATTGTAAGTTAAAGGTGCATCGGAAGAAAGTGCGTACGGATATACTGCAGGCGGATAACTAGACGGATAGGAAGCGGATGACGGATGATGCAATGAATGATCTAATTGTGAAAAATTGTAAGTAGGAGTCGCCGATCCCGCAGACATATGAGAATAAGGATAAATTTTAAAAGGTGTTGTTGACGACACAGCAGAGGTGCCCATTCGCGTAAAATTACTTAAATCTAACGGTTTGACAGGAATCGGAGTTGGTCGTCTGTGTAGAGGTCCAAAATTAAACCGTGAAACTGTATCACTTGAACTTATGCCATTAAGTGCTTCAGACTTTGTTGGCGGTGATATGTGACCGGACGACGAAGGGCTTACGCTCCGTTCACGAGCAGCATCGGTGTGTCTTGTTAATCTTGTCGGAGATAGCAGCCTCTTTGTTTCCATAATTGCACTGCGGAGTGTTTCAAACCTGGAAAATCGCAAACATTAACATGTATTAGAAATTTTAATCGCAAACATTAACATGTATTAGATATTTTAATCGCAATCATTAACATGTATTTTATATTTTAATCACAAACATAACTTAAATTTTAGTAACGTAATAAGAAATAAATAATGCAACATAGGAGATATATTTAAAATTAATTAAACACAAAAAAGATACTTTCACAATCATAACAAGGAGAAATGCCATGATGGTGATGATGACGATAATGATATGATGACGATGATAGTGATGCTGATAATAATTATGACGATTATAATAATAATATTAATATATTGGTGGTGATTTATTTTATTTTATGGCCCATTTATTTATTTTTTTCTTTACAACTGGTACGGTAACCAAGCAACATTACCTCCAGGGCGCAGAAAAACATACAAATTATTACAAAAACAAAACAAAAGAAAACAAAAGATAGAAATAGTTATTCAAAAATAAAAGTAGTAAAAAGCATTGGAAAAGTTAAGAATGTAACAAAAATGTATGATCATTTTTTAATAAAGTAAATAAAAATTGTTATTAAGAAATAGAATAGCTCATTAAACATGTACAATATCTTCATCAATTTCCCATTGCAGAGTTTGCAGCCTGGTAATTGAATTCACATAGGGCCTATGCCTATATGACCAGCTTCACATTAGTTTCAGTCAATATAGTTAAGAAAAACTTGATCAGGAATTTGTTCTTTAAATTATTTAGACATTTCGATATTAAAATTATGAGGTAAAGCATATAAGTGAACTATTACCCAGTATCATTTTTTTTTTAAATGTATAAGCCGATGTGAAGAAACAGAATAAACAAATAACGAATATTCAATAACGATTGCTACCGTTATATCACCGTTTGGGTAAGTTAAACATGTTTTACAGGCCGTAGAATATATTTAAAAATACGAAATGAAAACAATTTATACTTTGGCATAGTGTGTGTGTGTGTGTCAATCGTGGAGTTAATTATAGTTAGATATACCGCAGATAAATAGAAATAGGCCTATTTGAATTGCTTTTGTAAATTGCCTATTTGTAAATCTGAAAATTGTTGTAGATTTCAATATATTAAAACGAAAACAAAAGCATGTTCCTCCCAATTTTAATTATGAACCTAACTTCCTTCGTAAATCTAGTATTATGTGTTTTTTTCATTTATATGTAAAGTTATTATTATATTATATTTTAATTAATGCCTTACTGGAATTTTTAATATAATAATCAATTTTTGTCTTGGTGTGTTTAATAATGAATGAATAGATAAATAAGGCCAATAACTAAATCATTATATATTTATATGGTGTTGATAAATGTTCCGTTTTGATAATGTTATAGTTAATTATTTGCTTCTTTTGTTACATTTTGCAACATCAATGTTTTATTTAAGTTCAACTTTAATTTGAATTGTTTAAGAAAAATTAAAGTTTGTCAGATTTTAATGCTCCCAGTGTTTATGCAATGACCCAATTGGTTACCAATTATTGTATGCATTTGCCATTGGTTAGTTACAATCTGTAAAAAAAAAAGAATTTGTTTCAATCTCCGTCTCATTGAGAGTTGATCACTGTGATTTTTAAACTATAAATTAAATGTTTTAATTGGATTTTTTTTTTATTTTCGTATTTCATAATCACATATCTTCAAAGGTATTACAAAATATAGGCCCTATAATTTATATAATATCATAAGAAGGATTGAAATTAACAACCATCTCTACAGCTATACCAACAGAATCCATGATTTAACACACCTAAGCTTTGCATAATAATGGTATACGACGTAAACTGGTCAGTCGTTGTGTTATTATCACTGATATTCCGCCATGAAATGGACATAGGCCACAGTAATTACAACCGACCTTATCAGGTCATAACGTTGACTAACAACCAAGACGGGTTAATGGCTCTGAACGTTAGTACATTTTACAGTCAAAGAACCGTACCGCCTAGAAAATGATATTTGTTAATTACGGGTTCCATAGTTAAAATATCATAGTTTAATTAAATTTGAAATAAACTTACCCCAATATAACTCGTATAATGTTAAACCCCGTTCAAATGCACGTTTTAAATCTGAAACAGACACTCTCTTAGTTCGATTTTGATCGTATTTACTCCTTGTGTGTCAACTGTGGTCAGTCTATTGGTCAACTGGCGATCGTTGACCGATGAACGTCTATTATAATATCTTGACCACCGCCCCAAGGACCCGTTTCTGACCTAACTACCGCTAAGCTGTGTTTCAACACCGCTGACCCAGACCTTTCGATGGAACACTAGATATTAGAGAAGAATTAACCTTGTTGCGTGGTGATTACAACGGCTTGGTTCAACACTGTATGCTCGGATTCAAGCGACTTGCTTGTTTTATTTGCGTTCAAGGTAAACCCGATCCAGAGTGCGGTCACGGTCGCCGGCTATGTCAAATTCGAGAACAAACTCTTCAAAATTCGTCACGTGTCTAGCCTTGTCTTTCATTTGATAGCCACACGAATACAGTTGCACCAAGTGATGTGTATCTTGTTTAATTACTACGGTACTTCGCCCAATGAAAATAGAATAAAAGCCGTCGATTACAGGTCCACCTTTTCTTTTTAAAACTCATCACGTCATCGACATTCAACTAATCGCTCCTCCTCCTTCTCCTGCACCGCCTACGCAATAATTATATTTCAACCAGTACTTGTTTTTTTCCAAATCGATTTTCGGACACTAACAATATATATTAGAGAAACTAAACTAATCTCACAGTGTAAAATATAAACGCAAAGGTCTAGTTCGTGGCCGGCGGAACCGGGCTCGGAGTGCCCGGGCCCACCACTTTTTGGCAGAAAATATAATATCTCAGCGAATTTTTGTATGATCAGCTCCCTCGCACTTCATATTCCCATTCATCTTACTTTTAGGCCCACCCACTTTGAAAAACGTTTCACCGGCCCTGTAGTTTAACAGTTATCAGTATCAATTTTATTTTTTTTAAAGCTACTTGGTATAGTAAGGTACGGTAAACCTCTAAATATATATTTTTCTACAGCAAAGAAATAAATATTATTTTTTGGTGCAAACTAGGCTTATAATTATTCTTATCTTTATTTTCTTTTGCATATTTAAAGAAGAATTTGTTACTGTACTAATATTTCGTTTTTGTTGTCAACAAATATGTAAATTATGCATTGTACTCAATTGGTGAGATAATTTTGGTTAATGCATGCGTTTATGTATATTTCAACGTTAAAGGGAGGATTAGAGTGAAAAGTTTCTCCAACCGGTATTCGAAAACAAGCCCTTTTATGCAATATATATATATATATATATATATATATATATATTGTATATATATATAATTTAATGGTGAATGTACAGATATTATCAACACCATTAATAAACATGCATAGAATAGAATTTATGGCGATAAGAACATTTCTGAGAATTTTGGAAAACACGCTTAATAATACAAATAATAAATACAGCTCATAGACAAAATAGACAAAGAAAAAACTTAAGAAGATTATGATAATCACCGGCCGCTATACGTATTGGGTTCACGTTTCAGTTGCCAGCATTTGCGCAACTTTCCGCAATATTAGCGAAGTTGCTGGTACGTGGCCGCAGCAGTTACCTCGTTTGACCTGTCACTATAGTCACCTTAATATATACTACCACGATGAAAAAAAATTGAATTGCTTTTTTATGTTAAGAATAAAACATTTTGCTTTTTTTTTTATATTACTAATAAAATGCATATAGGCCCACAGTATAAACATAATAATGTGCATATAGGCCTATGGTATTAAATTGGCTGCCTAAACATTAGTAGTTGTATTTATAAGTCTGCAATTTTTTTTTGTTCGATCCTGGTTATTAAAAGCTGATAAAATAAATGAATCTTTAGGCATTTTATATTTTTTTTTGGCTGGCAGTGTCGTGAACTAACCATGCTAATGAGTATAACATTCACAAACAACCAACTCATTATCCCATTCACCAACCCACAGAGCATAGACCTACATTAGTATGATGCCGGTGCGCCATGGTATGTCACATTTGGCCCAAAAATGAATATATGATTCTCGTAAGGTGAAAAGAAAATGAGGACGAGTCGCTCTCTTTTTCACCTCCATACCAATAAAATGTTGTTGGCTCCCAGTGACTTGTAAAAAAGGAGGCCCAGAAAATGTATTAAGTTAAGAAACATATTTTAGATTTTTACCATAACGTATAATAGTATTGCTAATATAGGCTAGCAATACCGTGTATACCTTGGTTAGCATGTTATATTTCATGATGTGAAAAATTATAATAGGCAAAAAAAAATTATGGGCCTTGTATAGTACGACGCATTGAGATAGAAAGCTTTTGTCAAAATCTTCATATTTGATGGCTAGGTATATAGTATTATTTATTCACACAGGCATCTCCGCGGCGCATATTCTAAGCCAAGAGTAATTATAGATTTTAATACAGACACGCATAATAAGTATAGTGAATTCCAAAAATTATTAAAACCCCAGATATGTAATGCTATAATCACGTTTACTATATTCATACGTTTTTATTTTGATGAAAGATGTACCTGCGTGACAGAAATATGGTAAAAAGCGTAGAATTGATTGTGTGTAGATTATTTAAATAATTGCGGAAACTAAAAACGCATGTTGGTGTAGTAAACGTAGTTGGAGCGTTATATATGAATCTAGTTTCTTATCTAATAACAAGTTATTACGCTTATTCATACAGTAGGTCAAGACATCTGTTAAATGACAAAGATAACAATAGTGGCACCGAGGCCATACCATCAAACGCAATTTATACATAATTTCTAGTGGTCATTGCGTCGCAAGGGAACGCGCTAACAATACAGGATAGGAAATTGTTATAGATTCGCGAGCAATCCGCTGGCCGGAGGCGAATTGATTCCGCGGAACAAAGCCAGAAAAAAATGCACTTGTACATTGAAACTAGTAAGAAATCCTATAAATTCTATTATGCAGTATAACTACAATCAATAAAGAATACAGCTATTGCCTAGCTATTCCCATCAGCATAACTGACCAGTAAATAGATAGTGCTTCGGGCGAAAAGTCCATTCGTATAAAGTACGAGTACAGATCTATAGTGCCTCCTAAGTCTTTCGTGATATAATATTATTGCCTTGAGGTAAAATATACATCCGAGTAAAGTGACCTCATTGGTCAGTGGCCGACTGATGGTTTAGGTCAGGACCTCGCCTGGCACATTACCTAAGTAATGCGAGTTGTTATTCAATGTCCCCCGAAGCATTACGACCGAGCGGTCAATATCAGCGGGATAAAATGTTTTAGTTTGTCCAGTCCAAAATATTTGTCGCTGGAAGGGTGTTAATGGTCTTAGCTACGTCGTCCAGTCGGGTTAAGGTCAGTTGGTGGTATTGCCAAGCGGATAAACTTCCCGATTGTTTGATTTTATTTCTGAGGTTCAAAAACAGAATCACATAAATAGGCCTGCTTATGACGATTTTAAATCGAATCACGTGATACTTTACTTCCCTGATGATGGTCAATTGAAATTCACTGCAATCGTTGTGCTTATGTATCATAACACGCAATTATTTTATTTCTTATTTTGATCCGATTTTAATTCGAAGTTGCATGTTTCAAAGGCGAAAAGGTGAGGGTCACTCACCGGGAGGTCAGTCTCCTTTTAGACTTTATTGACCGTTAGCCTGAATTGACCAGTTGTCTAATGTATGATGGACTTTGAAGCGATGATTGCACCCTGTGGACTGGCGTAACTAAATTGGTCACCTCAAAAAGGATAGTCTGATAATACAAATTTTAATTCTCTGACCTAGCTTGGAATTCATGAAGAATGTTATTCGTTTGAAGTACAGTCGATCAGGGATGACTTCTCCTTGAGTCGATCGGTACTGTTAAACATTAGCACTGGTGTGGCTTAGGCTTATGTCTACAATATAGGCCTAATTATAATAATGTTATAATTTTATTTGCAATGACACTTTTGTAACAGTGGCACACAACCACGAGAGCGGTGCATCCTAATGAAAACATAGACATATGAAATGAAATGAAAAAAAACCTCCGACAAAGACCCGATGAGTATCCGAGAACCTCTGCCGACACCTTGAACAGCAGACCGCAACAATCTTCAGGTGAAATATTTCTCCTGAAGGCGGTGAAAGCACGCAATCCAAAATGCCGAGAAACACCCCCACCCCCATCCACCACCATCTCTCCTCCAAAAACCAACCACATAAACATTGTATCGCAAGAACCCATCCAATTTTATAACGTCATACGAAACTATAAAGAAAATTTATTGATTTACCAAAACTTTACAGAACATAAACAATCATTAGGCCTAGATAATAAAATTAAATATATTTAACCTGCGATTAGAAATAGGTTGTTAATAGTTGTTAAATAAACTAGAAACAACTTTACAGTTGAAACAAAGTTTCAGATACTGTATTGGCGAATTGGTAAATTTATTTTATTAATTAGGAGCAGTTTTAAGTTTTAATTAATTTGCAATTCACATTAAAGTTGATTTATAGTAGTAAGTGTGCCAATTGTTTTGCATAGGCCCTACATGTTTACTCTCTATGCCAACACATTTGCAGAGGCCTATAACCGTGAAAAATAATACCAGGTTATTTGTACCATTCAATCCAGTTCAATAATTTTATTGTATCAAATATCTTGTCATTATGTTATTTCAAATGGAAATTAAATTTTATGCTCAAGTATGCCAAAATGAACTTAATAAACTTTCTGTCATTCGGAGAATAAAATTCAATAATTGACTGTGCATGTAAGAACTATGTCCCATAATATAAGGACTACACAACGTAACGTACGTAAACTTGCGTGTTTGAGGGGCATGCGCGTATTCTTGGCATGTTCCGATTGGTCAGTCGTTGAGCTTCATTGACACTCCAGAAAGTCAATTGAATTGATTACTTTAAATTAACAAATCAGGAAAGGAAAACATATTTTCTTTTTTATCCAGACACATAAATAATCAGAAGAAAAATAACGCTAAAAAAAGAAGACGTTTCGAATCCTTCATGGTGTAATTTTCAAGTTCAAATCATGAGGTATACAGAATACAAT